AGCTCTCAGCAGCAGCACCTGGTCAAAGGCCCTCAGTGTAATCCAAAAATCATAAAAGAGGAACAGTCACACTGGTCAGGCTGAAGGTTCACTGGCCACAAGCCTCATCCTGTCTCAAGCACTGCACAAAACCAGGTGTCTGGGGGGAACATAAGAATAAAATAAGCTTACAGAGATATTTCCCTCATATATATATATATCTTTTGGACTATTCACAGTTCTGAGCTACAGACAGTATTTTTGTTGAACAGCCCTTAGTGGGCCCCTCTTCCAAGAATTTACCTATCTCCTTTTATCAGCATGACCCAACTCTGGGTAAAACTTGTGATTTTTCTGCAGCTCAGGCTCTTCCCACTCCTTCTGCTGGAGTCTCTTCCAGCTCTGACAACACTCCCTTCCAGTGGGAAGAGGTCCTGAGCCCAGGGCCAGAACCACCCTGCGTGATCCCAACGTTTTTGTGAAGCCCCAGATCTTTTGCACAGCTGGAAGCTCTCCCAGATTTGTTAGGAACCTCTGCTAAGCAGATGACAAAGCACACTGATGCTTTTGTCTTTCCCAAAACCTGGCCTTCAGACTGTGATCTTAAGTAGGAAGAACCACAGGACCAAAGGGAAGTTCTCCTTCGCTTCTTGGTCAGGCTCTCTACAGAGGTGGATTTCTACATCTTCCTTTATCTCCATGAGTAACAGGAAGTGAGATTTATTACTTCCTCGTTGCTAACTCAGTAACTCTGTTATACAACACAGGCCTTCAGGGAATTCTCTGACTTTGGAAATCCTTTGGCAAAAAATTTCCCCGCCTGATGACAGCTGGGTTCCCTTGGAATTTCTCTGACCACAAAGAATACAAAGAGCCCTAAAAGAAAAAGCTATCAGAACAGCACAAGGACCTTCATTCTTCCCATTGACCTGTCACAATTTTTTCAGTTTGCATGGAGTTTTTTTCCTCTGACATTACCCTGTTCCACACACCCCTCATCTCCCTCAACATCTTCCTATCATACTACATCCACACATCATAATTTTCACACTGTCTGGTGTCAGTGCAATCTGTCTCCTGGCTAACCTGGCTAAGAGCATCTTTTGACACACAGAAACTTTTTAACTGAAGGTTTGGGATAACACAGGGCTCCAGGTTACTTTACAGGGCTTATGGTTAGCAGAAACAGCACATGTCTCTCCTGGAAGCCAGGTGAGCCTTCTGTGTACCACAGATTGGTTTAGGCTGCAAGGGACCTTACAGGTCATCTCATTCCAACCCCTGCCATGGGCAGGGACACCTTCCACTGTCCCAGGATGCTCCAAGCCACATCCAGCCTGGCCTTGGGCACTTCCAGGGATCCGGGAGCAACCACAGCTTCTCTGGGCAACCTGTGCCAGGGCCTCACCACCCTCACAGGGAAGAATTTCTTCCCTATAGCTAATCTAATATCTAATCTTCTAATATCTAATCTAAATCTCTCTTCTTTTAGTTTAAAACCATTCCCCCTTATCCTATCACTATCCGTCCATGCAACAAGTCCCTCTCTCTCTTTTTATAAACCCTCTTTATATTGGAAGGAGCTCTAAAGTCTCCCTGGAGCCTTTTCTTCTCCAGGCTGAACACCCCCAGCTCTCTCAGCCTGTCTCCATAGCACAGGTGCTCCAGCCTTCGGAGCATCTTTGTGGCCCTCCTGACAACACCAGGATGTCACTCCATCACCTGGAAAGGGCTTTTCTTCTCGAGCGGGACTTTGTCATAACCTCACCTCCACGGACAGAGCAGCAAAGAGCAGCACGAACAGAAGGACCAACAGGAAGAGCATCCCCTCCCTCCCCAGGCATCAAGGAAGCAGCACCGAGGGCAAGCTCCGGGATGCCCGGGGCTATCCAGGATTCCCAGGCTATCCAGGATTCTTTGGGCTATCCAGCATTCCCAGGCTATCCGGGATTCCCGGGGCTATCCCAGCTCTCCCCATCCCCAGCACCTCACCCACGCTGCCGGCCAGGTCCGTCAGGACATCGTCGCGACCCAAGCTACGCAGCACATCCAGGAGCTTCCCCACCGTGGCCCCGCCGGGACAGCGTCCCGACCACTCGTCCAGCAGCGTGGCCGTGGGGTCGGGCAGCCCTTCCAGCCGCCGGATCTCCAGGAAGCTGCATCCCAGCGCCTCCGCCAGCGCCGTCCAGTCCGCGGCCGCGGCCGCCCGCGGGTTGAGGTAGAGCCCGAGGCGGCGGCGAACGCCGTAATTCAGGGCTACCATGGGCACGGCGTGCAGGTCCAGCGCTGGGGCCGGGCTGGGGCTGGCAGAGGGGTCCGATGAGGCCGTGGCCATGGCCCTGCCGCGCTCCCAACTTCCCCTCGCCGGTACTTTCGCTTCCCGGCTCGCCCCGCCTCTCGCCCGCCCCCGCACGGCTCTGCCCGCCCGGCCTCGGTGCATGGGGCTGGGCTGGCATCGGGAATTCGCCTGGCAGGGAAGCGATGGGATCGGGACAGTGCCCAGAAGGGATGGGATGGCATCGGGACAGTGCCCAGAAGGGATGGGATGACATCGGGACAGTGACTGGCAGGGAAGAGGTGGCATCAGGAGAACGGCCAGCAGCAGCACCAGGGAGGGGATTGCATGGGGAGACTGCCCAGCAAGGAAGGGATGGCATCGGGACAGTGCCGGGAAGGGAAGGGAAGGGAAGGGAAGGGAAGGG